GAGGCAACAGTGCTACCAGCTGTATTGGCACTGTCAGCAAGCTGGAAATGATGCTAGAGCTCAGCTTAAGGCACTGCTGATTCTCAGCTACGAATATGACAATAAACTCAGTCATGTTTGCACGTAAATGCACATTAGAATGTGTTGGTTAATACAGTGCTTCCGCTTGGACAGGAGAGACTGTGGAACACAGTAGTGCTACAGCAGCCTGGTGCAAGAGGGTGTGGAGGGTGTTATTCATTTGAGTATTCAAAACACCAGTGAGAAAGGTTTAGTTTTGTTTACTTTATTTATCTCAAACTACATATAAATATATTTTAAAAATACAGAATAAGTAATGCATATATAATACATAAGCATTATTGAGAATTCAAGTACAAAAAACCCAGAAAAGATCTGATGTAAACATAATAATGCACATACACACATATGTCAACTTTTATTTAGTTTGAGAAGGAACAGAATGACACAAAAGCTTATCTAGTTCTTCCTCTTCTTTACAGTGTCAAAAAAACCCAAACAATCTAGTAAAAAAAAGAACAAATAAACCAAAAAAATGAAAAACAAGACCGACAACAATTCATACATCTTCCCCCAAGGTGCTCATCGTGTCTACTCATTTAAATATGTGCAGCATTCAGTTCAGTTCAGGGCTGTGGAGGCTCTTAAGGGTGCAAAATAAGACAACAATTGAGAATTCCAATAATAAACAATGGCTATCACAAACGTCTCCGCTGCTGAGCGTGCACGTTCACATTCAGCCTGCTCAGTGGGCATCCATCTGAGCCCGTCAGCGCTCTCTCTCAGAGAGCAGCAGCCCCACTCTCTGCAGCACCCTGTCCACATTTGGAATCAGTTTTTCATGAAAGTCCCACAAGCGTTTGTCTACGTGAAGCTGCTCCAGCTGTAAAGACTCACGCGGAACCTTGCAGACGTGAATGATCCGACAAACTTCTAGTGGAACTTTGTACCGCCTTCCAAAATGCTTGAGCACTTCATGCACCGAAGTCTGCTCCACCATCCTTGGCTGAACTATCAGCTTGTGTGGATGGTATATGCTTCTGTCGGGGTCTTCCTTGTAGATGTGCTCCAGAATATTAACTCCCGGCACCCCATCCCACTGAGGCAGGTGAAACATTCCACTTGGCTCAAAGTGTCTCTTGGGGAAGATGTGGTTCTCAATGAGGAACACCCCTGTATTTGGTTGCTGTTGTTGTAGCGTGTTCATCAGCGACATCAGGTCGTTGTGCTGGTATGGCATTATAATCTCGTCTATGTCGTTCAGCAGGACGTAGCGTGAGCGCTCCATGGATCTGTAGATGCACTCATTGAGCGTGGTCAGCTGGCCGAAGTAGTGCAGGTCTCCTCCGAACTTCGAGAAGAGCCAGCCGCCAGATGCATTCAGATACTTGTTGATGGGCCAGGAAACTATTTCCACAAAGCCCTCCTGGCTGTAACTCTGCAACAGGCGGCTGAGCTCTGGGCCGCTGCTGGTGTTATAGATCACCACTCTGTCCACACCCAGCAACCTGTACATCTCCAGAGTCTGTGCGAACTGCAACACATTGTTGTAGTCTCCAAACAGGTTGGAGATGCAGACTGTGAAGTTAAACTTGAACCTCATCTCGCTGCCGTTGGTCTTGTTCCTTATAGGAAGCCAACTCAGGTTGGACCCTCTCTCAGTGTGCGGTTCAGTCAGAAGAGTGACATGGGTAGCGTGACAGTTTTTAGGAATCGAACACATGGCATCTGTGGTGACAAAGGGAAAGCCAAAGTTGTCCGAGTGCTGTAAAACTGTCGTCGGAGTTGTCAGAAATGCCGTTTTGTTGCAGTGGCCTCCACAGTTGAAGAGGCATTGAAGTGGTTGGATGGAGTCTCTCCTAAATATGCTAATGATGCGAACATCCAAACCCTTCACCCTCTGGTCCATGTAGGCTGATACCAGTAAGTGTGAGGTGTTTTTCAGCGGGGTGATGGTTGTGTTAGAGACGAGGAGGCAGGCAGCAGGGGGTAGAAACCCATTTGGCTGTGAGGTCGACCTGTAAGTCCTGGCTGTTCTCTGTCTGAAGAAGACAATGAACGTAGCCATGAGGAGGAAGACAACTACCCCTTTGAAGTTTTTTACCATCTCGTCACTGATTCCTAACGGCTTTTGCAAGAAAACAGCCGATAATCATCAAGAGCACCTGTAAGAGATGAACAAGCTGAGAAAACCTTAATCTCAATGATGACGAGGGAAAAGAAAATCAGGAGAAACAACTAAACAATAAAACAAACAAAGCAAACAAAAGCAGGTATAAGTGCGGACAATGCAGCGTCATCTTACCGAATATGTGGGGTGAGGAGTGTTCACACATGAGCGCAACTGTGCAAATGCAACCGAGGCCCTGCGAAGGTCAAACGCAGACCAGGAGAGCCGCAAGACCCGAGCCATCAGCAGTAATCCCAGAGCACGAATTCCAGCCACCACACCACTGAGGTGAACAGATGGCGGCAGAGAAAGGCCCCAGCCAGAGCCCACCACGTCCGCGAGGTGAGGGCCCCAGTGGGCCGAGACCAGCAGCCGCCGACCCCGCCGGGCACCGGCCGCACAGGGCCCAGGGCCACACGAGCCCAAGAGCCACCCCCACCCCCTCGGGCGGCACCCAGGAAACAGGGGTGTAAGAGGACCCCATTGCCCTCACCTCCCCCGCTTACAAATGTTAGTGAATTGTGTGTTTTTTGCAAATAAAATTGAGGAGCAGTAACCATGTTGTGGTGGGAGTGGGGCCACACAAGCAGTCCAACCCACTCCAATGGCCCCATCCTCCATACACTACATGGCCCACCCCCCCCCCAGAAGTTGTATGTGTGCTGTCAGTGCTTCACATGTTTGGTGACTAATTAAAACTGAGGAGCGAGCGTCACAGGGTGCAGCAAATGGCAGATGGGGCCACTTGATGGCCCCCTCCGCCACACCCTGCATGACATGCTCGCTCCCCAAAGCCTTACGTTTGTGTGTGTGCATGAAAGAGCGAGGGGAAGGCGAGGGATCTGGGGTTGTAGGTCTGGAGGAAAGCGAACCTCCCTCCAGGAGCAGCCGCCCCCACGACCAGGGCACACACCGACTGCAGCCAAGTAGCCGCCACCAACCCCAGAAGACACCCACCCACCACATACCAGGAAGGGGGAGACGGGGAGCAGCAAGGGGCACAGCGGGAGAGACCAAACCCAAGGCCCACCACCCCCAAGCCCGCCGTTCCCCAGAAGGGATGAGAACCCATGTTCTCAGCAAAAAATGTACTTAAAGTATTAAAAAATAACCTGTAAAAAATAACCTCAACCTATCTGTGTTTTTGCTGTAATATGTAACATTTTTAATCTTACATTACTCTTTACTGCTGCAGATGTTTACAGTTGAGCTCATTCTTAAGGTTGAGTTCAAAACTTGGAGATACATAAAAACAAGACCCTCAAATTTGTATTCGAGTAAATGTACCTTAGTTACAATCCACTGCAGTCTAAAATCTTGTAACACAATCTACATTGACTAGAAAACTGGTGATTGACAAGCAGTCCAACAAGTAGTTGGTACACGTCACATTGCTCCTCATATCAAACCCACGTTCTCAAACGTAATTCAAGAGCCTTGTTCTTATCACTTAATAAATACATGGTTGCAACATAAATCTAAATCTAACTTAATGATGTAGATAAACATTTTGAGTTGCAAACATCATTTTGATAGGTCGAATTGACACGATTATGCTCATATTTGGTTCAACTTAACATTGTGTGTCATTTAAACTCTAATTTCTGCCTTAGTTGATTTACTACAACATCCGAGTTGAGGTGACTTTGCAATTAAAATGGAATGAAATTGGTTTGATAGTTGGCTTTTCACCTTGAGTTCAGGATTTTAGTGTCTTGCCAACTGGCACTTTGTGATTAGATGAAAACTCGCTCTACCACCTGAACCACAGCCACCACAGGTGTTGTAACAGACTCTTTGCACTGCTCAATAAAGAGACTCTGATCTCAACCTCCTTGTTTTGACAGTGGTGATACTTTTTCAGCCACACAAAGAGATACTGATGTTACATGATCCATACACTAGACTGCAACGAAACAGTGTTTAAATAGTCAGCCAGCCTGTTAATATTGCAATTTGTATAATTAGTATTGAAATGCCAATTTAAAAAAAAAAGAAAGAATCACCAAAAGGAGGCTGTGATTTTGATTACCTTTGTCGAGTAGGTTCTGCGTCAGGCAATAAATATCACAGAAGGATCCAACAGAGAGCATGAACGGTTGCTTAACAAGTACTGCCACAATCCTCTGTTTGTTCGAGGTCACTGAATGGGTGGGGACAAGGCGACAGGTTGGCATGGAGCTTCATAAAAAGCAGGTGTGTCGTCATAACTGAATGATAGCCACTGACTGCTGGGCACTAAAACCTTCCGCATATAATGACAAATATCTTGACTTCCTCAAACAGACACAAGGTCAGAACAACGCAGCGTAAATATTTGATCATTTTAATACATATATTAAAATCATGTTTCAAGTGCCTGAAACTGTCTGCAGCCAACATGTCAGGATATGAGCACTTCACAAAGTGTTGTCAGTTTCACTAGAGACACCATCGCTCACTTACATGTAGGGGAAGGGTCCAGATGCAGGGGTTGATTAAGCTAAATGCTAACTGACTGATATCAGAATGAACCTAAGCCTGATCCTTTGTTTACATTTGCTGTCACACACGTGTCATAAATGTAAATCATTTTCCTGACAACTGCAGCACTATCAATCAATAATTGACGAGTTAATAACACAAGTTCAGCACACGACAGCCACAGACCTTATGTCCTGTTTAATCTTTCGATTGGCAGATAATGCGGTGTACCCACAAGCACGTTCCTCGAAGAACTAGATAGTTAACTTAGATAGTCCATCAGAAGTATTGTCCTGTGTTGATGATGCATTTTAAAGTCACATACATGTTACATGCTGCAAAGGCGACCGCTACATGTGTCACTGGAACACAGCAACGCTATTCTAGTTGATCTGAGCTTGATTTAGTACATTTCCACTAGTCAGAGGGCATCAAGTGTCACAGAAGACTGTCATGCTAATCACTTCATTTGGTCGCTGCAGTATCAAAAACTACTACCTGAACTGTGTATTATCTACAAAATGGCATCAGTTTGAGCTTCAGTGTCGGCAGATATTTAATCATTCGGACTTGGATCGGATTAGGGTCAAACAAAAGTGATTGGGATATCCTTCGGGATGGGTGTATATTTGAAATAAATTTAAATAATGTGTATTTGCATGTGTGTCTGAAGCATATTCAGGCTCTCTCTGAGGACAGCGTGTGCAGTACAGTGGTAAGGATTGAGAGGAAACCCTTTAGAGCCTCGTCATCTCTTGGTTGCTGCCTAAGAGTCACTTTTACTGCCTCCTGTCCTCTATCAGCTGTTGCTTCCATTTCCACCTGCTCGTCCACAGTGCCCTCCACCCCGACTTTTCCATCGGTGGCTTTTTTAACGTCTGCTTTCTGAAGTTCCTCGTTGGCGTACAGCAGTTCTCCCAGTATGAGCGTGCTGTGGGGCGTGTCGGTGGAGCAGGTGTGTGTGTACAGGTAGACCCTCCAGGGAAGTGTTTGCGGTGGCGTGAAGGCCAAAGTCTGAATGTTGACCAACTGCATGGCGGCCTGGAGGCTTTGCGGGGAACAGTTAGGTATCGCTGGGCATCGGATGCATTCTTCCAACCACACAAAATCCTCCTCCTCCCCTGCCATTTCTTCGGTGCCTTGTTCCAACAAAACAAGAAGCAAAGTCATAACAAAGGATTTTTAAATGTCAGGAAACAATGGAAATGTCAACTATGACAGTACTTAATGAAAAAAGTATTATCTAAACATCAATGGTATCCTGTAAAAAAAAAAAAAATCAGCTCAAGTTTGTTTTCTTTACAAAGGGTGTAAAATATCTTGGTCATGAATGTGAGTCTCTTTCACCTAAACACTGATAGATTGGACGTTAGGGTTTCCCAGAATTAAAAATTCACATCCTTTGTTGCGTAAACTGGCCCCTCCACCACCATGACTGCCATTGTAGTTGGTGGACTACCTGGTTTCCAAACAATTCGCACCTCGAGGCATGTGAGTCCTGGGTCATTATTGGGCCACTAGTCATGTGATCTGGAATGACTATAGATTCTGTAACTCCCCATTATCAGCTAGAACTGAACAAACCCCTTGGATGAGAAGTCTTCAAGAACCTACAAGAAAAGTCCAGTTGAAGCGCCTATGATTACCATGACCTGGATGACTGAGAGTCTACACACGAATTTTATCAATTTTAACTGAAACTTAATAAAAAATGTAAAAGGTGAAGGGGTCTGAATACTTTCCGAGGTAAGTGTATATGTGAAGTAGGGTTTTAAATATGTAACTATGCATCACAATTCATTAGGCTTTCCTGTTTTTCAGGCAAAAACACTAATTTTTAAAGTGCCTACCAGCTACAGCTGTCAAATAAATGTAGTGCAGTTAAAAGCCCTCTATCAAAACACTAAGTACCTCACGTTTCTATGTAAATACAGTGCTTGGGTCAGTGTGCTTTACCAGTAGAGATTTCATACCATCTTCTTTTGGTAGTGCTGTTTGCTCTTGTCAGCCACAACTCCTGCCCAATGAAGGGGAAGCTCTGGGCAAGAGAGAATCTCTGGGATGTGTTGTTTACAGTATAACCTTTTTCCATTTCATTACCTTGTTCAGCATGCAAAGCCCGTCGCTGTAGCCACAGGCGCTCAAACTCCTCTGGGCTGAGAGCTGGGGAGAGGGACAGGCTGAGGGGGGCTGCCACGCCGGAAGCCAGAACATCAGCGGAGGAGTCCGAACAGCGACCATCACCGTCTGAGCACGGGGGAGGACAAAAAGTACGGGAGGATGAAGAGAAAAGTGAATGGAGGGCAAAAAGAGAGGGCAGGAAAGGATGCAGCAACAGGGAGCCGAATGGTGGAGGGAGGATGAAGTGGGAGGGAGAGAGGCAGTTAGGATGAGTGCCAGAGGAAGAGATTTGTGATTAAAAATGGGCCTGCATTCCCAGAAATGGACCCTAACCTCGAGAAACCCAAAGATTTCTCAGTCTCTGACCAAAATAGCACAACTTAGTATGTAAGCTTGATCCATTAGAACCCATTTAAAGTGGCATGAAGATATTTCTGACTCCCAGTAACCCTCATGACCAAAGCCCTTCTTGTCCAGCTGCTGAGTTTGTCCAGACAGAGAGTTCTGGGACAAGTCCAGTGATGGAGTTCACATTCAAAGCTTTATTAAATGCTTTTTATCATTTTCCACATCTACACTTCGATGCCATGTGATCACAGAAGTATTTTTATGGACTTTTGCTGTTTATGATCTGAATGAATCATAGAGACCTGCATTCATAGGTGTCAGCTTTTCTAAACCACATTCAATCAGTGTAGTTTGTCTCGTGAGAATGCCACAAAGCAATCTGAAGAGTCATAGCAAACGCTCAGAATACTTTACACTGCATGTCGAGGGAAGAAGCGGTACCGTACAAAATACTCAGCTCCAATTATGGTAATACTCCTTTTGGCTGGGGCACAAGAATTTATTGGTTCTGTAGCTGCCAGTCCTTTAATGCTAGTCACATAGTCATTCCATTAGGTGAAGACATTTTGTTCTCATAGAAACTGCGGTCAGAAAAGCAGGTTATAAAAAGCAGAAAAACCAGCAGCTGACTCTCCCTAAATTACAGGAAGTTCCTGTTAAACACCCTGTCTGGCTGTTGCAGAACAATTGATGATCAAAATGAGATTCAGATACCTGCTTGAGCACTATGAAAACCAGAGGTGGTGAATTGGGTGTGACTGTGAGATTACAGCAATGCCACAGGTTGTTTGCAACATACTGACATGCAGGGGCCATTTTCTTGGGTTTGTAATTCAGGAAGGGTTTTAGGTGAGATTCTGTCTCAGGAAATTGAAATTACAGCACGGTATGAAACAGAAATAAGCAAACCCTTCAATAACTGCCTTACTTTTAAATTGATAATAGAGTATTTCTTCTTATAAACAATCAAAAACAATGAAATACAGATTTCAAGGTAGAAAAAAAAAGGAAGTTAATACACCTGTGAGCCAACAAAACTGAACACAGTTGAAATGACCAATTGGTCTAACTGCATGAACATGTTGATACGATGAGCTGTGAACACCAGAACTTTCTAGGGTTTGGACCAATGGGCCGTGTCTATTGGCGTGTCTCTGTCTAGGACATGGAAAAGAACTGAAACATCGAGTTGTGAGACTTTAATAACACTGAACGATGAGGACCATCACTGGCCAAATAAAAATCAGTGGAAACACAGTTGCAGCAGCAACCAGGAGGTAAAAACGAGCCGTGGTACCACCAATCAGAGCTGCAGTGGTCGTCCTCCTAACACGACAGAGCACTGTTTTTGCTGAAGCGAGAGCGCAGAGGTTATCAAAGGCAATCAGAGTTTCTGTGACAGCTTACATAGTGCAAAGAACATCGTATAATGTCAACATCTATGGATGGCGCCCAAGAAAATAACTGTTGCTCGGTCTTCATCACAAAACTGCAAGATAAAACTTCTTAACAATACATTAAAACAAGCCTAACAAATATCGGAAGCATAGTCTTTGGTCTGTCGTGTTGGAATGAACCATCTCAGGGGTGTTTTGAGCTGAAAAATGGAAAGACACATCTTGGGAATATGTGAGACTTTCATTAAGTTTCTGAGAGGGGGCATAATATGGGACATTCAATGGCTAACCACTGACTAAATACACAACAGAAAGATTCAAATGTCATCACTCACCTGAATGAACCTTCTCGATGCGGCTACAGTTCAGGGTGTCTGAGAGGTCAGCGTTTGGCTTCGGGTCAAAGGTGGTGTGTTCAGGGCTGCCCCTGCTGGCTGACTCCGTCTCTATGGTGCTCTGCCTCAGAGGCTCCAGGGTGTTAAAGCTGCGCGCCCACTGGCTGATGGGCTCAGCGGGGCGGCCAATCAGAACACCCAGGGAAGGGTCCGACCTCCGACCCTGAAGCACCTTTCGTGTCTCCTCTATCCCACAATGCAACAGTCGGTAGTAGAGAAGTGCCTGGTCACGAACACACATGTCTGTCTCCTCCTCTGGAAAGCACAAGCGTGTTAACGATCATCTGTTTTTTTTATTCTCACCTCTCTGATAAACAAACACACACCTATGCAGTAGTGCAGCAGTCGTCCAAGCATGTCCTGCGTCTCAGCCGGCCGACACAGAAACAGCCTCATGGTGGCCGTCAGCAGCTCCACCTTGACTCCCACAGAGGCCTCGCTCCTCACTCCATCGATGAACACCTCCAGAGTGTAGGGAGCGCTGAACACTCGCTCACCATATACGCCCAGCAACCACAGCAAAGCCTGCCTGCCCTAATGGAGGATGGGGAGAATATGTGGAAGATTTAGGTCGCTAACTGCAGTATGTGAAGACCTGAATGCAAATTGAAATGCTTAATTTGACCCCAATTAGCACGATGGTGGATCCTCCAGGAGCCAGTCTAGAAAAGTTCAAGATTCTCAGAACATTTCCATGATCACTACAAAAAAAAACAAATATGCCAGCCGCGAAGGAATGTGTATTTACTGTACTTACTGCACCCAAGTAAGAAAAAAGAAAAACACATCATGTTTGATCTGGGACCCTTGAATCACTCACAAAAGATCAACAAGGAATTCCTGCCTGAATGAAGGTTTGACAAGGTTCAGCTAGTTCTGGACAATTTTATCCAGTCTGTCAGATTTGTTAACTTGTAGGTCTGCTTCTCCCAACCCTAGAATGTCTCAGCTACGAGCAAAACTAATCAGATGTTCTGCTGTTAGCCGCAAGAGTGAACACAACAGTCTTCATGCGCTCCCAACATCTGAGGACCTGACGACTCAGTGCTCGAGTAAAGCTCAAACTAGTAGGGAGCATGATTATTTTGAGCAAGACTGATCCGAAGTGAAAGGGTTTAGCTTTCTCTTAGTTTCATGCTGTAGCACCCCCTAGTTCACACTACAGATCACAATTGCATAAAATTAATGTTTTTTCAGGTAACGCAGCCATGAAAAGTGATACAGAGGTACCCGAATAATACTGAGAGATGTGTGCATCTGTAATTTGAGTTTTTCAGGACAGTGACTTTCTTGACCCTTTTCCAAGCCCACAGAAGCCCCGCAGGCTTCTGAAAGTGACTCCACGGCAGTGCAAACATGACCGTCTAAGGTGTCGCCAGAAAGGAGAAAACATGCCAAAATCCTGTCATGCCCGTCCTAAATCAGGACTAAACTTACTATTAACTGTCTGTACATGTGACAATCTGGGAACAGGTGCATTCACGGACACACTTTCAGTGGAAAAAATGTGACAGTACCAAGGGGATGTGAGAAAACATGATAAAGTCCCTTTAAATGACAATACCTGACGAGCTGCTGTTCTGTACAGTGTCATTTAGGTGCCCCTAAGTCTAACATAGTGAAGTGCAGAAATGGGTTCTCTTTCTGTTTGGTAAAATACAATTAGTGCCCTCTATGTTGCTCCTGCATGTGAGAATATGAAGCCAATAAGACTGTCCGTTCACTGAACAAAAAACACGGTGAAGCACTCTATAAAGTCAGCGTATTCTAAAAAAATATCGTCAAGTGTTCATCCAGTGAAAAGCATGAGCCCTAAGATGCCCTTATGATATAATGTAATGGTCATTACTGTAACAGTCTGTGTGGTCTATGTCGGTTGACCATTAGGAAAGTATAATCAGCCAATTGTAATGTATGTAAAACAAACAAACAAACAAAAAAAAGCTGCAGAAGCAAAATAGGAGATGATGAACACGGGGATGTTCTGTTGTATTTAAGTCTTGGTCTTTTTTTTATGTATAAATTATACTGTCAAGAAAGTTTCATTAAAGCCTGAAAAGCTGGAACGTAAACGTACAAAGGTGTTGTTTTCCTATATTCGGATTCACACTTTAAATCGTTCACCTAACCTCTGCTAATGGGGGTCAGCTGACGGTGTCCGGTGGCTTTTACATCTTTATTCCCTCAGATATCCACCGCTGCTTTAGCCCAGCGTGTTTTTAGTAAAGCAACAAATCTTGAACTGTTCATCATCGCTGACAGAACACATACCTCTAGTCTCTCTGCTCAGACCCACATGAGTGAAACACCTGCGGGGAGAGTTTCCAGCTTTCATGTGAGACAGCTAGTTTTACTCGCCTTAAGCTTCACACGGTTCCATTTCATGAATGTATGTATTCCATGTCTACGTGAATAAAACACACTGAAAGAAAGCAGATACTCGATATTTAGGGGAAGCCACCGGAGCTGAAAAATGTCACAGACGTCGCCTCATAATGAAGCATTTCTTTAGAAACATACGAGTTTGAGGTAATGACACTTACACAACCAGGTCAGTGACAGGCTGGACCGCCACAGGTGCATAACCAACAGGACCAAAATCACTGGACTGTTGTGCAATATTGGCATTCCATCTATTACTATTACTGTTATTATTATTGTTGTTATTATTATTACTCTCTTTGTATTATAACAATATATCATTGTACGGGAAGTTATTGTTAGTATTCCTAATATGGCGCTGTGCTGCTACTGTCACTGTGTTATGGTGTAATGCATATATACACATATATATTTATTTATATATTGATTTATTTATGTTCTTTAAATGTTTTCAAATATATATTCGATACACCTTTATATTTGATATACTCAACTGTATTTATCTATAACTACACTGATTGTTATCATATTATATAGCATATTATTATTATTTACATTGCTATATTACTATTGTTATTATTATCACTACTATTACAACGTGCTGCTGTTCTATCTAACAGTTTGTTTCCTTGTCTACTGCTTTTTCTCTTAACTGATGTGTGCTACTGTCTCTGTCGGTGTTGTGCCGATTCTAGAGCAACAGTTTCCCTGAGGTACCCCACCAAAGGGATCAATAAAGTTCTATCTAATCTAATCTAACACATATTTATAAAGTGCTTTGCAAGTTCCTTTAGTAATATTTTTCTTGGGCTAGTGGTTTTTGGCACTAATCTCAAAAAAATAAATAAAAGTGGAGTTCAATGCAAACCAGTAACAAAGCGTTTACAAAGTGCCTGGAACATTTGTTTAGTGACATTTTTTGTAAGGTAGTGATATTGGCACTAATATAAAAACTAAATCAAAGCGCACATGGTTCTTCAATCTCAAGACACATTGAAAGGAAGTTACCAAATATGGTCACTTGCCCCATAAAGAGTTAAGACAGCACGATACAACAGACAATCTACCACGTGATGTCTGACAACATGATCCTTGACCCCAAAATGTCTGTCAGTTTTACTAAGTCCTTCAGGAATAGCTCAGTTAGGGCTGTAGCGAGGCACTTCAATGTCCACAACTCCACCTTGTGTCATCTAAGAAATGGTTTCAGACAGCCCAGTATGATTCTGTCCCCCACAGCATCCACCAGCTTCACAGAGTCCTTCAGAAATGGCTCAGTTTGGGCGGTAACAAGGCACTTAAATGTCAAGAACTCCACCATTTGTTATCTAAGAAGTTATTTCAGACAATATGTTTCAACAGACAATCTACTACACAAAGCTCTGGATTACCAACAACATGATCCGTGGCCCCAAAATGTCTGTCAGCTTCACCAAGCCCTTAAGCAACAGCTCAGCTTGGGCTGTAACAAGGCACTGAAATGCCCAAACTCCACCATTTGTCATCTGAGAAACAGTTTCAGGCAGCTATGTATAACACACGATCTACCACGTGATGCTCTGGATGACCGACAACGTTATCCTGTGTCTACCAGGACAACTCAGTGTGCGAACATGATCCTTTCCAATACAATGTTGGAACAACAAATGCTTATTACCCTTTGTTAGAACGAACAGATTAAATTTAATAAAACATCACGTTGCATCCTCAAATGTATTCACACCTTCCCATTAAAGAAGGAAACAAACAGCCGTCACTGAAATAAGTTGAAATTGACAAAAGTAATAATAAATACAATTTAATGAAAATCATAAAATTGTGGTTCAACAGAAATAAAAAAACAAACAAACAAAAAACCCCCACACACAAGCATGATGGGAGCTGTAAACTAATATTTAGTTGAACAACCCTTTGAGCCAATCACTGCCATCATCAGGTGTTTCTGTAACTCTCAATCAGACTTCTGCACCTGTTGACAGGTGTTTGGATTTCACTGCTCATCAGCAAAGTGCTCTAATTTGTCCAGGACGGTTTTGTTTTTTAAATAATTATTTTCAACCACAATTCAAAAGCAATGTCTTATTTCACTAAATTATAATTTAGCAAATTTTTATTTATTATTACTTTTTTCAGTTACTAGTTCCCAGCTAGAAATTTTTGGTTCTTAGAACGTTCTTAGAATGTTGACTGGAACGTTGCTGCAATATTTTCAGCGGGAACATTTCTTTAAATTCCCAGAATGTTCTGGTAGAACATTCCCTAAAAAAACATTTAAAAAAATGTTTTGCCCTCATAAAATGTTAAACGACATCTATACACCTTAATCCTCACTAGGGTCATGGGGGGCTGGAGTCTATCCCAGCTGACTCAGGGTGAAGACAGGTTCACCTGGACAGGTAACCAGTCTATCACAGGGCTACACTTAGAGACAGACAACCAAGCACGCTCACATTCACACCTACGGGCAATTTAGAATCACCAATTAACCTCAACATGTTTTTGGACTGTGTGGGAGGAAGCTGGAGAACCCGGAGAGAACTCCACACAGAAGGATCCCGGGCGTCCGAACCGGGATGTGAACCAGCGACCTTCCGATCATTGACCGACCCGATCTACCACCTGAGCCACAGCCGCCCCCCTAGAATATGATGCACAAATGTTTCAGCAGGCGTTTGTAAGCCAGCATAATAGAAAGATGATCAGAGCGGCTGAGGTGGGGGCGGGGGGTTGCTTTGTATGCATCAGGGAAGTTTGAATACACCAAGTCCAGCATGTTCTCTCCTCTGGTTTTAAAGTCCACAAATTGAACTTGAACTTGGGGAGCACAGACTTTAAACTGGTGTGCTTAAAATCCCCTGCGACCACTATAAAGCTGTCTGGGTGTCTAGTTAAAAGCTCACTGATGGCATGGTTGGTTTATTTCCAATATTTTAAGCTAGTATTCTAGAAATTGAGGTTAGAAGTTTTTTTCAGTTTCCAGAAGAAAACAACTATTTCCATCCACAACACAATGTTCTTCTTCAGCATTCTTCTATCAAAAACTGACAAACACAATTTTATTTCTCAGAACTGAAGGAGATGTAATGTAGTCTTTATAACATTCTGACAACATTTTCCAAATGTTGCAGCAAGAATGTTCCTCTGTTATTACT